AAAGCACGAGGTAGCTTTAAACAATCTGAAGCGAGCTGTTTGTTCCGCGCCAGTGCTTGGGTATTTCGACAATAGCCGGCGAACTAGAGTGGTTGCAGATGCCTCACCTGTAGGATTAGGAGCTGTCTTAATACAGTTTGAAGATGAGAACGACGATAAACCTGTCGTAATTTCGTATGCCAGCAAGAGTCTATCTCCAACAGAACGTCGTTACTGTCAAACAGAGAAAGAAGCTCTTGCAATCGTTTGGAGCGTTGAAAAATTCAGGTTATATCTAATCGGAAGAGATATCGAGCTCGAAACCGACCACCGACCGTTAACGGCAATTTTCAAATCAACCTATCAGCCTCCTGGTCGTATTGAAAGGTGGGTACTCAGATTACAACCATTCAAATTTTGAACCATTTATAAGCCAGGAAAAGAAAATGTAGCAGTCCCGCCTTTCTTTATCTATGGATGATAGAGATGTAGACGATTGTGACGACAAAATTTACATTAGTGCTATCACCGAATCAGTGGCCATTGATGTATCAGAGATAAAAAACGCCCTAAGTACGAATCCTGAATTGCTACTAGTCAAAGATGCATTGGAGACAGTAGACTGGAGCAACGAAACGATTATGAGCGGTGCTAAAAGTACATACCTTTCCAAAATGATCTCAGTCTTCTTGAAGGTTACGTCATCCGTGGATGGAGAATCGTTTTTTCTCAAAGTCTACGAACAAGAATATTGCAGCTTGCTCACGAAGGCCATCCAGGCGAAACATTGATGGTTTCCCGTTTACGTGATAGAGTATGGTGGCCCGGAATAGATGACGATGCAAGAAAAGCTGTGAAAAACTGTGAAGGATGCCGTTTGGTTAGCAGGCCGTCGCCACCGGAACCAATGCGTCGTCGTACAATGCCGAGTGAACCATGGGTAGACGTAGCTATGGACTTCCTAGGACCTCTTCAATCCAACGAATACTTGCTAGTGATCGTAGACTATTATAGTCGTTACAAAAAGGTGTGTATTATTAAGAGAATCACATCAGAGGAAACAATCAAGCGAATCGAACCCATTTTTGTGCGGCAAGAATACCCAAGGACAATTACTTTGGACACCGGCCGTCAATTTATCAGCACAGAATTCGATGAATAGTGTCGTTTGAAAAACATCACGCTCAACCATACTGCTCCATACTGGCCTCAAGCGAATGGAGAAGTTGAGAGGCAGAACAGTTCACTTCTAAAGCGGCTTAAAATCAGTAATTCAATGAATCGTGAATGGAAGACAGACTTGCTTCAATATCTGTTAATGTATAATACAACCCCGCATAGTGTCACAGGTAAAGCTCCCTCCGTGTTACTGCAAAACAGGTTTATCCGTTCCAAGATTCCGTCAATAAGCGACATAGAAACAGCACCGGCAGTGAGTTGCGGTGTTCAAGATAGAGACACTATTCTGAAATACAGAGGAAAAGAAAGAGAAGATTTAAAGCGTCACGCACAGTTTTCAAATATTCAAAAAGGAGACCGTGTCCTGTTGCAAAATCTCGTCTCAACCGGAAAAATTACTCCAACTTTTGGAAAAAAAAGGAATATAACGTCATATAAAGGGATGGAAACCGAGTGAAGATTCAAGATCCTGCGTCGGGCAGTGTTCTAGAAAGGAACACCGCTCACCTCAAGAAAATCTCCAGTTCTTGTACTATTTCTATAACACCATCGAACTCTGAAGACAATGTCAGAAATCCTAATAAACATGCGGAACCATTGCAGCCAGCTCGTCCTTCTCGCTTGCTGCGCAGACCATCATGACAGCAAGATTATGTTATCAACAGGTTGTAATCTGTTGGAAAAAGGAAGATGTGGTGAATGTTGAACCGACAGCTCAGTAGGCCTAGCATTTATAATATTAAGAACCAGTTAGTCTTTCATAACCAACGATCGAGACTAGATCAACCGTCCCTCGGAGCGATAGGAATTCATACAATAAAGATCCATATAATAAATGAATAACAAGTTCTCATTAAATACCACAGTCACTATGAATGGAGTTCCAATTTCCTGGTCAAACCAAGTGAAATATCTTGGCTTAATACTTGACCAAAAATTAACTTTTAAAGATCACATTGAGGGCATTCAAGCCAAATGTAACAAATATATAAAATGTTTGTATTCCTTTTATAAACAGGAAATCCAAACTTTGTCTGAATAATAAATTTCTAATATTTAAACAAGTTTTTAGACCGGCCATGCTTTACGCTGTGCCAATATGGTCTTGTTGTTGCACTACCAGCAAAAAACACTTCAAATGATTCAGAACAAAATTCTGAAGATCATTTTGAAGTTGTCTCCCTGGTACTGTACTAACGAGGTAGATTGAATTTCGAATATTGAGACTTTAGAACAAATGTCCAACATGCAAAAATCATTGCAATCCTCAATTACAACGATTAATTCCCTTTATACTTAGGTAAGATTTAGTTTTAGTTTTTAGTTTTAAGATTTCAATTATTATACTGACATGCAGGTTTAAAAAACCTGTTTAAAATACTGAATTGCCAAGGCAGGAACAATGTAAAAACACTTAGATATATATCATAACAATTAAGGCTGGTAAGTTACAGTAGTAACTGGAGCACCTAAGTTAAAATTAAATGTAATTTATTTTGAATTTGGAACAAATAAAGAGTTAAAAAAAAATTTCAATCTTGGAATAAATTCACGCTAAAAAAGTTGAAAATAGTGACTGATTACAAGAACAAGTGACATTAGTGACTTGGTCTTAAAAGAGTGACTGGTTTGCAAAAAGTGACCAAGGCACTAAAAAGGCCCAGCCCTGGCTGTTGGGATTAGAAATTATTTCTTCAGATATTTCAAAAGTTACGGGAAGGTGATCAGAACCAAAGTCATGAGTAACCAATTGGCTACAAAGTTGACATGAATCAGTTAAGACCAAATCAATAGTTGAGGGATTTCTTGCTGAAGAAAAGCATGTTGGGCTGTTTGGATATTGAATAGTGTAATAAACTGCAGAGCAATAATCAAACAGAATATTACCATTGGAATTGCGTTGAGCATTATTCCACGAGCGGTGTTTTGTAATTGTAATTGTAATTGTTCAGTGCATAGGCTGTGCCTTCCGCTAAGAAGGCTTATCTAGGGACCAACCCCCTAGTCTATACACCTACTGTCCTTCCCGTTGCACTCGTCAGCTCGTGCGATACTCTAGACACACATGGGTGGTCGTATCCGGGTCCTCCCCTGGGTAGGCTCGTGTCCGTCCAGGTTCTGGTACATTAACTTATCTATATGCATGGTAATTATACTTTTAAAACTCACCTTTTGATTATAATGTCGAAAATGCTGAAAGGTTAGCGATCCATATAAGGTGTGTGCTGCGACGGAGTAGTAATTGAAGGAAATGAGGTTCTGCTAACAGTTACTAATAAATGGGTACGATAAATCACTCATCAATGAGTATTGCCACTCCCACTGAAAAATGGGCAAAACCTTAATCATAAATGGATATTCGATTCCTACCGTGTATTTAAAGTTAAGTTAGGATCTTATCAAGCAAGCACACACCTTTTACGATTCTTATCCTACTTACGGTTTCCTGCACATACGACTTTTCCTAGATACAAGCTTCGTCCAGTATACATTGGCTGTCTCCAACCGGCATGATCCTTTATGTCTGGTTCCTCTTGCCGGTGCAAGTTTAATTCTTCTTTTCTTGTTCGAATTTTTCCTATTGAACTTCTGGTCGTGTTCCCATTTGTCCTCAGGCAGTTAATATTAGTACATTATATGAAGAAAGAAAGAAAGAAATAGAACAAGTTAAGTGTGAGCTGCATGCATTGGTTACTTATTTGGGTCATGGTGTTGTCTTCCCTATTTATTTGCCTCTATTCGTTCTCATATCGCAACGTTTAACTAACCCCCTTCCCTCACACTATTATGGTCGGAAAAGAGAACCCATATTTAGTAATCTATCGCGAACTGCGATGCAGAAGATATTAATAGCAAACTAATCTGGAACTGGTCTAAGACATATGACCCAGTGAGTATTGACACCTCACACTGTTGTGAATGAGCACGGACGCGAGATTTACTAGAGTATTAAATGCAAAACGCAAATTTAAAATAAAACTTGACAAGACATCGTCAATCCCCTTATTCTTGGGCAGGGTCTGACGATGTGAATCTGATTTTGATCAGTGAACGGGCCCCATATGGTACATTTTCTCACTATGAACCTGTCATTTCCAGCCTATTTGAACTATTTAATAAATGGAAACCATAACATGGGTTACGCTCCTCCTAAGCGGGCCCTCCGCATCCTATCTCTGTCTTATCTCAAATGCCAATGGTTTGAATGTATCAATATATACATTGGAAATGACGTTCAATCAAATAAACCCATACCCCACTCACTTGGCCAGTCTTCAGAATCGTCCAGTGGGCAGTGCGCTCTACACTCCAAGTTCCCTTTCTTTCAAATTCACCCCAAATTTGATATTTTACCCATTTGAGTGTTGATTAATCACAATGAAACATTGTGACAGAGCACGGACTTGAGGTTACTAGAGTATTAAATAATCTAGGTCCTATTTAGGATTATATCTGAAAAATCCAAATTTGGCCAACGCCCACCTATTCCACGAGCGGTGTTTTGTATTAAAATCACCAATAATGAAACATATTTAGACCCCCTCCCCCTACGTAGACAATTGTCCATACACATTTTTTTAAATTTTTATGGGCCGTGGATAATTTCCACAAACACAAAATTAGTAGGTACTGTGTAATTTTAAAATCTGAAAATTTTTGTATGTTATATTTCAAAAACATATGACCAAGTTTTCCGAATTTCTGCGACCCACCATAGATTGAGAAACGCTGGTCTATGAAGTTTGAAATTACAACAGAGAAGGACTACGAACTAATTTTCAACGGCAAGCGAGTTTCAATCAATATTGATGACAACGCAATCCAAGTTGCCCGGAAACACTCGCATACTGTCATTCGTTTAAAGTCAAACCCCTTTAACAAACAATGTCCATTTTCCGGCAGCTTAAACTTGCAACCAGCAGAAATCGTTTGCTATCAACGAAGCTAATCGCTCCCAGCCGTGAAACCAATGGAAAAGTCGAAAACCTTGCGGCTCCGTCAATTAACACAAGCATCCACAATGCGATCAACGAGCAAATTAACGTTGAATTGGCCGCCGGCTATACTTATCTCTCTATAAGCTACCACTTTTCGAAATCGACCGTCGGTTTGATGGGACTCTCCGGTATGAACCTTATTCCACGATCCAAAGAACGATTGTCTACTTACCACCACTTTTCAGATCTCTACCGCGTCATGTCCAAGGAGGAGCTGGATCACGCCGACAGCCTGGCTCACTATGTCCTCAAACGCAACGGTTCCGTAGACCTCGGTTCAATCAGAAAACCACCCAGTTGCAGTTGGTCCAACATTGGTACAACGCTGAACGAAACGCTTCGGCTGGAGAACTGCGTATCCGAGTCGCTGTCCACTCTATACCGATTGGCCGAAAAGCACAACGACCCTGTTACGACCGACTTTATCGCTACGGAGTTCCTCAAGGAGCAAATAGAGTCGATTCGCAGCATTAATCTTCTGGTGGCAAGGTGGACAAGCCTAGAAAAAGCACCCAACGGAGTCTACCTATTGGATAGGGAACTGCGAAAGAAAACCAATTAAGGGTATGGTTTCTACTCGTAGAGATAGTTTTATTCGGTTAGTTAAAACATTGCACATTATCCTTTTGATTAAAAATTGTCATTGTTGAATACTAGTTTACTGTCATCATTGCATATCTTAAAGCTCAAAATCATCCACCGAGCTGAGGGTGGTTTCGATCAGTAGATTAAAATCCAGTTCATTCAAACTGGCTTTGGCCGTTAGCAGGTCTAGGAAACAGTCCAAGGGTTCTTGCATCTTTTGCACGGCGCTCATCTGCTCGCCCAGATCTAGGGAAAGTTAGAGTTCGTCTATGTTACATATGTTTTCATCTGGGGTTGATAGATCCTTATCTATCACAGTATGTGTATTGTCTACGAAGATAGTCTTATTTGATAACATAATTTTGTCTGGAAAAAGCTCATGCAAATGAAACGTATGGAATCAGGATGATGCAAATCGAACAGCTTTGTACCATTTCGAAATTAAATATACAAAATGTTTATCTATAGAAAAATAGGTAAAGAACGTAACAGCAATAACGAGTGTAAGATAAATAACAACTAAAACGATAATCGTAGTATGTGAAGGAGTTCTACGGTGGCTAGATGATGCACAGGGCGTCGTTGATGAGTGACGATCGAACAAGTCACATGTCGATGAAGGAGTGTTTGGTGGTGTCTGATGATTCACCGGAACTCGGTGCATGGGAATGGTATTCAGCTGACCGTAGGTCCGTGGTGATCGTAGCGGCAATGGCGATGAATATGGAACATTTGGTCCCATCTGCGACCGCACGGTGCAGGGCCAAAAGCAGCAGAAGCAAGGGCAGACTGGGGGATGATTTTTTTTGGTAAGTATTGCATTGAAGTCTCTGGTTAGTGGTTATTATATCTATACGTCACATTACAATCTAGCAGGGTTATTCTGAAGTGAAGTGATGAGATAACGGGCCTTATTACGGGTGTCACTACACGGTGATAAAGAAGGGATATTGAGTATAAGAGCCGTGATTGCCGTACAAATCAAATGGGAATCACTTCACCGTGACGACAAGTGACAAGTGACAAGTTTTCACCGTGAAGTGACATTCGTAATAAGCCCCAATATTGCACATCGAACGTGTACCGAACCAAGGGGTTCACTATGGAGCATCTTAACCACTTCAATTGGGTTAAGGATGTAAGTGTAAGCTCGACGAACTAGCCGCACGCTCTTCTTCGGCTGGGCTAACCATCAATATCAAAAAGACCAGATCGATGGATGTCAATACATACGAAAAACCCTTCCATCTTTACGGTAGCTGGGGAAGCAGTGGAAAAAGTCGTATATTTCCAATATCTTGTAGATTAAATCACCACTGCGAGTGCTCAGGCAGGAGATATGAGCTAGTAACACATAACATAATGATATAACCAACCAACCAGGGTTGTTAATCGATGACCGTCGATACCGTCTGCAGTGCAAATTCTCAATTACAGACGTTAACGCTAACGTTATCGATTAACAACCCTGCAATTGACGCCCAACGTGTGAAATAAATGACGAAAACACAGCTCAACAAAACATATAAAACGATGAATAATAGACAGCACAAATATTCAATGAACAAACGAAACAAATGTATCGAAAAAGAACAGAACTTTTCGGCATGCAATAAAATATAACAATTATGAAGACAAACATAATCCTCAAAGGACATTAAATGAACACATCACATAAAATCACAGCCACGGTGTGCGAACAGTTAATCTATCCACAGTAAACCAAAAACCTGTCAATGACTTCTACCTTTCGGTTTGTACTCCCGTTTCTTCATCTGCGAGTACCCGCGCAGGTAAACCGAGTTCCCAGACAAAACGTTCAAGGCGTGCTCCCGGCCTTTCAGCATGGTGCTGACCGGATGGTTCCAGTTGTTCAGCAACCTTCTGGCCCGTGATCGGGGCAGTGTCATCAGTAGACTCAGCTTCCGTTGAACTCCCTCCGTGGAATCATCTATGTCGGCAATGATCACCTTAATCACGTCGATCTGCAGCTCGAACACGTGATGTTCGACGTACTGCATAAAGTTGTCGAAACTGAGCGCCCGATACCCCAGGTAGGTGAAGAACGATGAGAAACCTAGCGGAAAAGGAAATGCCAGGGATTCCGCTGCCAGGCAGTACCGTTCCAGGAGGGTGAAGAGCTTTAGCTGCTGGTCGCTCGATAGTTGATCACTGAAAATGGAAATTTATGAGATGTTATCTCCATTCTAATCTTTCTTTTGAGATTAACCTACACCAAAGCGAATCCTCTTTCCGGTTCCAGTGCCAAATCCAGCCCAGCAGTCTTGCAAACCAGAACGCAGAGGGCTCTGGATTGTTCAAGCTGGGCTGCAACGTACCTGGTGGCGACCGCATGAACATGCGAAGGAGCGGGATTGCTATCGTAAAATGCATTTTTCAACCAGCGGAAGCCACTGACCTCTTTGACGCTGTGCTTCACCAGATGCATGCTGAGTTCTCTCAGATTGACGTTCAGTACCAGTTCCTGCTTGCTTGCGGTGCATGCTTCCGTCTCAACGAACGGCAGCATATCGTTACTCTGCATGCGGCGACTGCTAACCGCGGAGAATTCTGCGGCAATATTCATTATTGGGTTAACGGGGGACATTGGAGTGGAGCACCGGGAGAGGGCTTCCGGTTGGTAGCAGGTTAAAGAATACATGAGTTTTTCGGTTACTTGTTCCTGGGCAAATCGATCCCGTTCTTTGTTGTCGTTCAAACGTTCCCACAGGCAGGTCCAGATGTCCTTGCGAAAGGGAGACAACCGCTGCTGTGGAGAGAGCAACATCATCGAGGTGTTGTAGAGAGTCTCATGCGAAAGGCCCACGGTCAGGTTAGATATTTTAGCTTGAATGGGTTTCGAGGTGTTGCAGGTCGTCAGAGGCAGCAACCGGAAGAGAGCCAGTTGGTCTTGGGAGAGACCCTTCTTGGAGGAGGCGTATGAGCCGGAAATGAGCGCCTCTTTGAGCAGAGGAACTGTATCTAGGTGCAGCGGACGTTCCATTATGATGGTTAGAAGCTAGAATTGATGTTAAATATATATGTTTAGCACAAGAAATAAAAATTGGTCCTACCTCCGAAAAGATTCCCACAATATCGCCACTGGAATGCGCCAGGAAGTAGTGCACAATCGCCAATCTATTATCGATCGATGTATCGTTCCTAAACGCCTCAATGAGATGGTCCTTTGGAATTGTAATCGAAATCAGATCCAACGTAGCCGAATCGTAGCAAATGTTGTTGGTGGCAAAGCACGGTACCAAATGAGTCACCGGTTGTCGCGTAAACGGCGGACATACAATATGACAGCAAGGTTCATGTGACAGTCCAACGTCCAGCAGATGCATGAAGAGATCCGCCTGGAAGACGAGCATATGGTGGTCTCCGTGGAGCGTGAAGGTCGGTTTCAATGTTTTGGCCTTCCCCCAAGGAATTCCTGGAATTACACAGTGAATGACGCATCCGTGGTGTAGAATCGTTACGGAATAGGCGAAATGGACGTCGCAAATGTTCTGCGAGGTGGTTGCTTCTTCGTCCGATTGTTTGATCGGCTGATACAGATAGTAGTGGCACACGTAGAGCATTCCGATCTGGTCGCTGACGATAATCAGATTGAGGGATGAATCGTGAATCCGTAGCGGAACCGTATCGTCCTCGTAGATGTCTTCCATCCCAGAACTGGATGTTGGAATGTTTGGCAAATTTAGTGGAATGTTCAGCACAGTTTCCGTGCGTAGATCGTCATGGAATTGGAATGCTGATAGTGTAGGGTTCATCTTCTTCTCAGCGGAACCGTCGTCTTTCTCGAACAGCGTCTTCGGTGCCGGTTTCATATGAATGTAGTAAAGAGCTTGCACGGTTGGATCCCACTGAGCCCAAACAAAGCTCTTGGTAATGGTTTCACTTTTTAAGCAAGATTTGTCCAAGTACCACGCCGTTGGATCAGTATAATTTAACTTTGAGCTACATCCAAGAAGATCGTCATCGCTCCCATCAACATTCTGCTTCTTGATCGTTACCGTGTACAAAAGAACTTGTTCGCTATGAATCAGCAACAGAAATTTGTCCTGTTGGCTCTTCTCGAAGGTAGCTAAATTTCTCCACTGAAACTGCGCCATCATCTGATGGCTCCGATCCACTTCCATCAGCATAAGTGGTTCTACTCCCACATTCTCCTTAATCTCAACCAGAAATGTTCTGTAGATGTCCGTCTTTCTGCCGGACTCTTCCTGTTTCGATTCTTTCGTTGTGTACAACAGCAACGTCTTGGTCAGATTCACCGAAGCCTGGATGATATTCTCCTTACCAGCAAACGTGTAGACAATCTGTAGCGTCTTGCTTTTCGGTGTGTAAACTCCGATTTTACTTCTCTGCTCGGTTTGGTTCTTCGGATCGAACGAAACCCAACCTGCCAGCAGGCATCCATCCTGTTCCTTTCCTAGAATCCTCCACTCGATGGCAATGTCTGCAAGTTGCATAGTTCCCTATCAACCATTTAATTTTACTCAACAACCCCAAGAATACGTACCTCTACAACCACTGACGGACAGCAATCCGCAGAAATTCGCGGCCAAGTTCTCCTGTTTCAACATCCTAGCTTGGGTGCAAAATTCCATCACATCCACGTTCTTGGCAGGCGAATAAAAATTCCGATGCCCCCAAATCGCCTGGAAATGTATCTCTAAAGCCAATCAAGTTGAACATTATCTACATTTTCCCGGGAATTTATACCAAAAAATGCTTAAAACCTTTTAATAAAACTCACTTTTATTTCATTCTTGGTTAGACTCGTCACAACTCACACTGAAAACTACTTGAAAAATCGATAATCTGAGCCTAACTGATGATATTTAAATAAAGGCAAACACATTCAGATAGACACAACAATCATGATGCTGCGGATGATTGGATGACGATGATGTAAACAATCCCGACACGCGACATAAATAATAAAATGACATTGCGGTGTAAACGGTGTAAACCGACCAAAGTTTCACGTCTTATTATCAGCGGAACTATCTGAAGGGTGTAAAGGTCTACTGAAATATTACGTAACGAAGAGGATTTAGTTCAAACTGCTCACTCGAAAATAATACGCAAGTGTGTGTGTGTTACAAACGTCAAGAAGGTCAATCCTAACCGCAGCGTGACGTCATAAATAAACTCAGTGTAATGGGCTGAACTTTTTTTACAGTTCAGTGGTACTGTTTACAAGCACTTAGTCGTTTTTACAAAAAAAAATATTCTAAAATTTAAGAATTTTAACTTGAAAATTGTCGAGGAACAGCGCGTAGAAAGGATGTTGCTCGTGGACATTGCAGAAGTGTGGTTTACATTCTCACTGCAGTCGGAAAAATTATCGAGAAAATCCACCCAACAAAAAATCGACTAAGTCCACGTAAACAGTACTACTGAACTGTCATCAGATTGAGGTTAACCCCGACGGTGCAAAACCTAATTAGGACTGGGTTCAGGCTGGGGGGAATGTTCCAAAACTTCTACTGCTACTGTGTTACCTGACCTATAACGAATATAACGAGTACCCCGAATACAACGTATAGTTCGTCTAATTTTACATTGCATTTGCTATGCAAAATTAGACGAGTCATACGTTGTATTCGGGGTACTCGTATACAACGTATATTCGTTATAAGTCAGGTAACACAGTAGAGTCGGTGTATAATGAGTCACGCCAAGAGAAAAACAGTTGAACTCGCATCACGGTTTTCGAAAGATTCCCTTTATAGTATGTTCACATTACGCTCTATATTACGTTATATAGCGAGATGATATCGATATCACGTTGAGGTGTTCACACTACAGCGAGATGATATGGTTTGACATTAACGAACCAAAACAAAACCCCTGACAAAAACAAATAAGGGAAAGAAGACTATCGTTTGCAAACGTTCCATCTCTAAAGATTGTTGAAAGTTAAAATGAGAGTCAGTGGACGAAATTTAAGAATAATACTTACGCAGCACGTAAGACGACTAAACGCAATGAGAGATATGTGCCGTATGAATTCTTTGCGAGAGTCGTTCTATAAACGGAAGTGGCAGGAGCACATTTTGAAAATTATAACACTTCAAAAGAAATCGATTGCAATATCATGGGATATAAGATCAATATGGAAAAAGGTATTTAAGTTCAAAGTTGTTTTTTGTAGTTAATGTAAATATAATTCGTATTTATCAGAATCGCACTTGTCGTTTCTTTGAACACGATGCTCAACAAAACGGGAAAGCAATCTTCAAGGAAAATTTCCGGATGACACGCCTAAACTTCAATGCATTATGCGTTAAAGTTCAAAGTATGGTGCGGCAGGATACGACATTTCAAAAATGCATTCCCTTACAAAAAAAGGGTGGCAATTGCACTCTATGCACTTGGTTCTTCATGTGAGTACAGAACTATTGCCAATTTATTTGGAGTTGGAAAATCAACTGTTTGCGAAATAGTACTGGAGTTTTGCGAAGTATGGGCTAAAATGCGAAAGGAGTATTTGGATTCATTTCCCCTTACAAAAGACCGCGTCAGAGAGTGCATTAATGGTTTTCAAAAACTCGGATTTCCACAGTGCTACCAACAATCAATACGAAGCTAACGATTTTAAATTGGCTCACTACTTGACTAGCCTTTTGATCCCAAGCAAACGATTAACGAACCCCATTCTAGTATAAATTCCAGTACTACACAATGTTTGTTTTGATTCGCTATGAAAGTTTGACAGATAAAATGAGGGGTTAGTGGATTTTCCTATGTTTCGAGGGGTGAATCGATTAGCTTGGGACCGAAGAGAGTACCAGAGCTGAGTCAAAAAGTTGAGCACGTTTCTTCGGGACTTTCTAGTCTTAGAGTTACCTCTATGGTGCTACGGTGCAATCGGTAAGCTACCTTTTATGTTTTTCAAAGCAAGGGTAAATGATTCTTAATTACAGACATATGTCATATTGAAGTATGCCCTGAGATAGAAAACGCGATGGATTACCATAATTATAAAGGCTGGTACTCTATCGTTCTGTTTGCCTGCGTATTTAAGGACTGTTGATAAAAACTAACAAACACCCGTCTCTCTTCATTCATCTGTTCGGACCACTTGTCTAATCTGTACGTTTTTGTTGTATAGATATCGTTTCCAATACATTCATGTTGGAAGTCCGGGAAGATGCAATGATTCCCAAATATTTGAGAATTGCAATCTGAAACGGGAGATTAATTCGGAAAAACTTCGGCAACATTCCAAACAATTGTGTGGCGTAGATGTGCCAGTACTATTGATTGGTGATTCGGCATTTCGTTTATCAGCAAACTTAATGAAACCCTTTACTTTTCGAGCTGATGCATCAGCGAAGGAAAAAAAAAAATTAATTATGCGCTATCGAAGGCACGGAGGGTCGTGGAAAATGCCTTTGGCCACTTAAAGGCAAGATTTGGCAAAGGCATCGATAATAGCATAGACAATGTAACGCTGATTGTGAAAAGTTGTTGCATTCTGCACAACTTTTCAAACCACCAAAACGATGCGATTAACGCAAACTGGATTCAACAGTTGCAGGAAACAGATGGGAACACCCAGAGGCAACAACCAGAGCAGGTAGTGACTATAACGGATATGGATCCAACTGCGCAGACAGTGAAGGAATCGATTGCCAACTACTTAGGTGAGTTTAGACACATACAATTATAGCATTTTCTTTATTTAAATGGAACGTTTCTTACATGTACTCATTTGTTAAGAAATTTGATCAGTGCTTCGTTGAATTCCTTAGTACTTTCGGTCATTTCTCGTACCAATTGATTTCTTTCTTCCTCCACTCCAATCAATCTTTCGTCGGTTTCTCTTAGTCACTCAAACTCGGTTTCCATGAATGCATTATTCTTCTTGAACTCATCCATCATTTCCTGCTGTACATTAACAACTCTTCTTCTCTTTGTAGCTGATCGTCCGGATGATGATGACGATGGTGTCGGTGGGATCTCAGATCCATTAGGATCCTCTTCATCATTCGTGGTGTAATTGGGAGAGGAGGCTGTAATATCCAAGCATTCATCATGTGTATCTGAATTGAATAATTTTAAAAACGTATTAGTGCAATTTATAAAACCATAAAACATAATTGATTAGACATAAATATTAAGGAAATAATATTAAACTATCATTTGGCGCACCCTCTTTCTTCCCTTTGAAATGTATATTGTCGTTTTGTTATATTTGGCGCCTAGCTGAATTGCGATTTTAAATAGGAATTAAAGAGTTTCTACTCATCAACTATTCCTCGAAATACATTCCCTTTTCTCTGAGACCAATGGACATCCCAAAAAGGTATATGAATTAAAGAGACTGAATTGGGTAAAGAAGCGACATCTTATCCATTCGACAGGTCTTCTACTTGATTGGAATAACTTTTCCTATGACTTTAACAGATAATCAATTGTTTCAATTTTGACATTTTGTCTCTTTATAAATTCAGCCTCTTTGTTTGATTTTGATTTTGATTTTGCGAGACAGAAGGGGGTCTTATGAAGGCCAGATCTCAAGTCTCAAGGCCAAATTCCAGAACTTGAGTGGAACATGGTTCTCACGTCAGACTATAATGTCTAAAATGAACCACATGCCCCAACCAACCCCTAGAACGGCTCCCATACACTCTCCATGCTGAATCGTGAGTCCCCCCTTTTCCCATATCATTACATGCAAAATAATAACCCGATGCAGGTCAATTGAATATGCCTAATTGAATTAGTTGCAATGATATTGTTAACAGTAATGACAGTATAATATCTATAATATAGTAATTTAATAAAATGAATATTTACCTGTTAATAATGATCGGGGTTGGTAAAAACTTAAAAGGCACCAAGGTGGTACAAATAAAAGCAATAACTCCACTGAATGCTAATAAATGAAACCGATGAATGACTGACTATTTTACGAGAAATCGAGGAAGTAATATTGAATAATAGTAGTAAAGAGTGATGAAATTCGCTCATAAGGAAATCATCTTCGCTGTCTTCATCCGAGAAGGAATATAGTTGATATCGTTGTTTTCTTCAAAACTGGATCGTATTGATCTAAATAAAAGAAAAGAGAAAACAAAATCACCATTCGATCAAGCCAAATTCAAAGGTAGTATCTGTGTGATGTAGCATTCCAAAAGTTTTGAGCCAAATAATGGAAATTAATTTTTTACACTTTTGTAACTATTAGACTCAATTATTTAAAAGAAACAATTCATATTTTATACTATAATTCTAAACTACATAATTATTTAATTTTGGCTAGTAGTTAAATCAAAACAAACTTTGGTCCGCTACATCACAACTGGCATCACTAGTGTGCATCTTTCAAAATGTAAAGATACAGACAAGCCCTGGGACCTGGTTGCAGTTAAGCAATCCTCAAGGTTATGCCAATGCCCAGGGCTTTATAAATTTAGCCTCTTTGTATTAATTTATTCCACAAAATAAATCTACACGAACACTTCACAGGTCCTATCTGTGCTGAAACCTCGTTATTAGCACAAGACATACTCTTTCGTTAATAACTTGAGCACATAATCGTTTCTTGTTGTGTTTGTCCTTAGATGCTTGATAAAAGCTTTTTTTTTTATCGATATGTGCGCTGAAAACACATGAGAAAGTCTTTACATGACCGTGGGGATAAAAAGAAAAACTCGACGAAGAGAATCTATCAATGTTACTTAGGGCCTAATGCAATGTTCAGCTTGAAGTGTGCACATTGTAGATTAAATACGCTTATTTGTGAAGGGTAAGCTATTAATGTAGTGGAATTAAATGGAAATTACTAACCCTTCTTCAATAGAATGGGTTGAATAATAGATGAAAATATGTAGTTAAGAGATTTCCGAACACAGGTTTTTATGATACATATCAATACTTCACGAGAAAAAAATTAAATTGTAACATATATTTTGCATTAAAAATAAGTCTATGGCTTTCGAAAAACAGTTATGGTAAAACTTAAATATTTTGGTTTGGTTTCCCAGACACTCGCAACCAACAATAGTTTATTCTACCTTAACTTTATGCACATCAAGCAAATGATCCTCCAAAGCCGTTTTAACCCGAAAAGACATCTTGCAGTGCTCGCACACAAACGGACGATCTGTGTGCACGATAAAATGGGCCACCGTCGTCCGTTTGGCCGAAAAGCTCCGCCGGCAGAGGGTACACTCGTACACCCTGGCATTGCCAATCTGGTAGTGTTCAACCGGGTTCTTCACCGAAACTCTCCGCCTCTCCTCATCCGAGTGCGTGTGGGAATGATCACCCAGAAGAGCTTTCCGATAGAAACCCTGCCTACAGATCAGACAATTGAAAGGTTGTTTATCCGGGTGGGCTTGTTTGTAATGCTGCTCGAGAAAGTCCTCATCGATGTACTCTTCCTCGCAGTCGTAGCACTTGCGCAGCCTGTTGTCCGCATTTATATGATTCTGTATATGCCGGTGAGCGGTCCTTTGCACCTTGAACGTTTTCTTACAAACCGTACAAGGGTAGTTGCGTTCACTAGTGTGCGTTGCCATGTGCTCCTTAATGTTCTTCTTCGACATCCACCGCTGACATTGGCCGCATTGGACTTTTTCGTAGACCGACGTAAATTTTGGCCGCGGTTCACTGCATTGACTTTCGTAGTGCTTCCCACCGCAGATTGCACAGGTTATGGACAGTTCCTTCAGATGGTTCTCCTGGTGCTGCAGTTCAGCTTTGGGAGAAGCAAACAGTCGGAAACACATGCGACATTCATTCACCATGACATCGTCGTCGTCGATCGAGAACGATCTCCACAGTGATTGCGAGATGAAATTTTGCACCGACTCTACATTGTGACCGGCTTTAACGTGTTCGCTGAGGTGTGTTAGTAAAAAATATTCTTTTCCACATATGAAGCAATTGTACGGAGCATGACCGTGTTTCTCCAAACAGTGAATATTGTACACGTTGATCTTCGGATCCAGAATCTCGTCGCAGAACTGACACTTGCGCTTGAAGTTTTGTTTGATGCTTTTTACCAGAGTATCTTTTGGGTGTTCCTTCGCGTGTCGCCGTAACGCTGCTTTGGAACTGAACTTAATCTGACAAGCTGAACACGTTAGGGATACTTTTCTACTTGGTGACATCTTATGTTTTTTGTGATGAACATGCAATTTGTACGTATCATCAAATGTTACCGTGCAATCTATGTGTTTGCACTGCAGAAGTATTGGAGCACTTACAACTCCCGGGTGATCCCGTCGAAGGTGTTCGTCGTAGTCTTTAGCGAACATAAACTTCTTACTGCACTGCAAAAATTGACATTTGTATCGTACGAGAAAAACGTTATTGGACTTAACAGTCGTTTGTTCTTTCTTTACGTTATCTGAGCATTCTGCATCGGTGGCTTCAGACGTTTGACTCGCGTCTCCCTGATCGATTTCATTGTCATCCTGTAAATATTCAACGTAATACTCTGAGGCATCTGATTCGTCTCCCATTTGACTGGGATCAAGCTCGATTTGATCACTCCTAACAAGCTCAACCAACTGTTCTTCATCTTTCACAAAATCGATTTCCTCCACATGAATTTCGTCGCCTTCTTCCGCAATATTCCCCGACTCCAGCTGCTCTTCTTCGATGTAGATGAGATCCTCCTCGCCTTGTTCTTCAATGATGACATCTTCCGGTAATTCTTCTATCATTTCTCCTACACTCACAACTTCCTCATGCACAAGTTGTTCCGGCACAAGGTCTTGTTCAACTTTCTGTACTTCTAAATGATCCGGTTTACTTTCCCAATCCGGTTCACCATAGTAAATCAGGATCGACTGAGATTCGGGCTTGTGCATCACCTGGAGACTGGCAGCGACGACAACGGGGGGAACCAATTCATCCAGAATGTTGACTAGCTTGGATATAACATCGTAGTACCGAGCCACATTCAGCAGCATGCGACATTCGTTACTTGCGGCACTGCCTCCCGCCGGATGAAGCAGGGGAGCCGTTGTAGTCATTTCGATGGGGATTTCTGTGAGATGGATCCGCCGATTATTGAACTACTATGGTATAAGTAACATCAGAATACAATACCCACCTCAGATCAATCTGGAACTGCACAATATTGTTGGTGCTTGAAAGCGTACGTAAATTATCTACTGCTATTTTAAAATTATATTAGATGTTTTTTTTATTCTGCAAAACTTGGAATTAATATTTTTTAAAGTAAAAATCCAATTACCTGCGCGTTTTCCCCGCGCCACAACTGTTTGTAAATAAACGGAGAGCTATACTGTCAGACAGCAATGAGCCCTTAAGAAACTTTGGTATACACTGTACACAAACATCATCCTCTGATCAAATGAAACCTAAGACCATTAAAAACAAAACACCGAAATCGCTTTTTCGAATGATACCTGCAACCGGATGATGGTTGTTTTGAAATCAGATGATTTTCCTCTAGAATACTGGATGAAAATTGTTATGAGAAGGGATAGAGCCTCAGTTGAAATGCGTAATGCTCTCTGCAGAATGGCTGTCATACTAAATGGAAATGCATTTGGTATTGGTTCAGCCCCATAACGCAAATCATTCAAAACGATGATGTAAATAATTCTATCGAATGTCATTTGCCGATCTGAGCTGACAAACGAGGTGGAAGCATATGCATCGCTATCAGAGCTGTTACGAACATAGGTAAAGAATGAAAACCAATGTTTGGCTAATTCTATCCTTAATTTAATGGCTTATTATGGCTATTCAGTATGGAATTGTAGATAATCAAATTATAAATCTAATTAAAAGCACTTGCATGTCAAACTATTCTTAAATGTTTGTCCTCGGAGTGTCGTATGTTTTATAGCTAATTTTCAAACGAAAATCATCCTGTATTTGGATGACAGTGATATGGATGTACATCATCTGGCGACGAATTCAACCATAAGAAAATCATCCGGGCTCGAGCAATGCAATAATCATTCGAAGTATTGCGGATGTTTTGGATCAGTGTAGTGCGAGATAATCATGGGGTGGGCAGGGATGCCAGGTTTGAAGACACAAACGAAGTATTAACGCACTGTAACTGGAAAATACGCATTAATGGGTACAATTTCACCCATTTGAAGTAAAGTAGGATAACCCATTTAATGGGTAAAAAAGTTACCCAGTAATGAGTAACTAGTACTAGTATATTATGAAACTATAATGTTAGAGTGGAAACGTAAAACAAAAACACGGAAAGGAATTCTCGAGTAACATTTGAATGTCGAAAACGTAAACAAATCGGGTTTTGATACCATTCTTTAGCACCGCTTGATAGCTACTAATCGTGTAGTAAAGTTCCGCATAATCGAGAAAAATCATAAAAATTACTCGATTTTCGAAACGGCCGATCAACTAAATTTTTCGATTCATTAATCCAGCTTTCCATGCTCGGTGATGGCGGCCTGTTTGTATGAATAAATGTATCCTTCACTGTGCTTTTTGACACTATCTGGATGTTCGAATTTCAACCCCTTCCCTTTCCCTCTCCCAGGAACAGTAGAAAATGGAACAACATACGCCCTCCAGTTAGTGTCAAAAAGCACAGTGAAGGATACATTTATTCATACAAACAGGCCGCCATTACCGAGCATGGAAAGCTGGATAGGCCCGCACGCTAAAACGGCCAACCATTCATTTATTACCACGCCTATCCAATCCCACTTTCGGAAAGGTGAAAGTTGCCCCTATCCGATGATGTTGTTAGTTTGCGTGAGCGTACTTCGGTTCGTGTGTAAAGGGCCTCAAAAGATTGTTTACAAAAGCTTTTGTGCCGTTATCAAACGTTACGCCTGATTTCATTGATAAGCCTATTGACGTAGAAGGGCCGATGATAAAAAAAATTTCAATCCAAAGCTAGGCCCTATACTGCTTGAGACAGGGCCGATGATTTGTTTTGAATTTATTGACGTTGCGAAAAGGCTTAACAAAGGGCGTACCATTTCTGATGACAAGCACAACGGTTTAACCAAAAGGGCCTATCCATTGAAAGATTCACAAAAAGGCTTATTAATTTATGAAATTAAATTGTTATCGATTTTCATATATTTTCGAAAGCTTTTCTATTCTCCTTGTGAACAATTTAAATGCCTAAAATACTTCAATTTTCTTAAATATGAATTGAATAGTTGCGGGAAAATTTAAAATGCATTTTATGGTTTGTTTACGTTTTGGGCATAGGCCCATTTCAAATGTTACTCTAGAATTGTGCAGTATAATCAGAGGTAACTCTAAGACCAGAAGGTCACGAAGAAACGTGCTCAACTTTTTGGCTCAGCTCTGGTACTCTCTTCGGTCCCAAGCTAATCGATTCACCCCTCGAAACATAGGAAAATCCATTAGCCCCTCATTTTATCTGTCAAACTTTCATAGCGAATCAAAACAAACATTGTGTAGTACTAGAATTTCAACTAAAATGGGCTTCGTTAATCGATTTGCTTGGGACCAATAGGCTAGTCAAGTAGTGAGCCAATTTAAAATCGTTAGTTTCGTATTGATTGTTGATACGACTGCACCCATTGATGTAACATACGGCGGCTCTTTATCCAGGATTCGCTCCTCAAGCCGCTGCCATAAAATACTATCTAAGTTACACACCTGTATAGAATCCTTATGAGCGGGGTTGCAGCGCGCTTATAAGTGGCGCGCTTCGACCGTCATTTCATAAGAATTTAACATAAGTGCGACAATATTCTGGGGGTTAAATTAAGCGCAAAGCCGCAAAGCACCTCCCGCATAAATGCAAACCATTGCTTGACCTTACCAAAAAAGGTTAAAAATTGTTTATAATCCCTGCTAAACTTTAACTGAATCGGTTATGGAACTTTACATGAACTCTTGTGTGATAAAGTTTTAACCTTATGTATTATGTTTTTTTTTTAATGAACCTTACAAACTTCTTGTTTTGTCAATACATTTTCGGAAAAGAAATTATATTAAAACCTTTAAATTTGTTAACCATTTTCGGTAAGGACAAGCTATCATTCGGAGCGGCGCCGGTGCTGTACACGCTATTTCAAAACTACCCAAATTTGGGTATAAATAATCCACCCGGATCGGTGAAAACTGAACCTACCCAAAAATGGGTAAACTGTGTTGGGAGTGACAAGTTGACAAATGAACAACATTGACATGAATCCGATCGACGTTGTTCATTTTTCAACTTGTCACTCCCAACACAGTTTACCCATTTTTGGGTAGGTTCAGTTTTGACCTATCTGGGTGGATTCTACCCAACTTTGGGTAGTTTTGAAATAGCCTGTAGTGATAAGCGTGATTACCTCTCACTCCAGCTGGCCTGGGTTCAATCCCAGTCGGCGCCGCCGGGATGTTCTGAGGCATAACATCTCTGATCACGCCTTCTTTCGGAAGGGAAGTAAAGCCGTTGGTCCGCGGTTCATGAGCCGTCATGGGTCGATAGGTAGGGTCCAGGTGTAGGAGCTGCCTCCCTGGCGTCGGTAGTATTGGCAGCTCATAGTAAAATCATGATAGTACCATAGAGGTAACTTTAAGACCAGAAGGTCTCGAAGAAAGGTGCTCAACTTTTTGGCTCAGCTCTGGTACTATCTTCGGTCCCAAGCAAATCGATGCACCCTTCGAAACATAGGAAAACCCACGAACCCCTAATTTTATCTTTTTTTTTAATCTTTATTTAAGAGATTTTTAGCCATAGGCTAGTTCATATCTCTTCATTTTATCTGTCAAACTTTCATAGAGAATCAAAACAAACATAGTAGTATTAGAATTTCGACTAGAATGGAATACGATAATCGATTTGCTTGGGACCAATAGGCTAGTATTTTCCTGTATTTTCAACTCCAAAATATAGTCCGATAAAAACTGTCGGTGAAATCGAGGGTGAAGTGCGTTCTATTTTACTGCAAATGTGGTATAAAATAATCGAAAAAAAAAGTTTGTGTCTGCAGTCGCATGACACATGGTCGATTCAAACATTATTCCAATTACTATCAGCAGAAAATCTCAACTACAGCTAATAGTCAAAAACGATATTTGATTACTGGTTAGAGCATGGTAATCTCTACCCAAGTAACAATTTCGGTTTTATAAGGGTTCTGTAGACCATGATTTAGACTTGTAGCATGCTTTAAAACCTCCATAAAACTTGGAATGTTACTTGGGTACTGAAATGTGGTAAATACAATCACAATTGGTGTGCAACTCTGCACATCCCAATCTGTGCCGAAAGCTAGGTTAAGCGTTGTGTCGAATGTGCCGAAGTGTAGCAAGTCGCTTTTCCGAGTTTTTTTCGGCCTTTTGTGTTTTGGCCTTTCGTAGTATTCCCTATATTAGGATAGGTGTATCAGTTGGTGTGTTCCAATTATGGCCTATGAAATCCCATTAAACACACAATAATAGGAACGTATAGCCGTAACTGGTACATCTACCCTATTGTCATTGAAGGGAAAACATATTAAGCCATCATTCCTAGTTGAACACTCAGTCGGTTAACAACGTCCCGGTCTCAGTCGCGCGGCATCTAGTTTTTTTCGGTGTTTTTTCCGCCCGAGCGGTTTTTTCACCCCCCCATTGGGTGCCCCAAGTGACCAGTGTGCAACAGAGGAAGTGGAATTCCATGGGCCGAGCCCCTTGGAGTTGCCATCCAGCTTTAATCCACCCCGGTAATCCATCCGGTCGTCAAGCCATTTTTTCATCATCGTGCCGACCCACCAACACCAATCATCACCACCAGCAGCAGCAAACGGACCATCTAGCTGCAACGGCTGATAGGTTGTTTACAACCGGCATAAGTATTAGACAATACATTTTGCAAGTCCATTGCCTCCCTATTGTAGTTTAGTTTTGCCTCGTGGCGCGTGACTCTGTCTCTCACCCCTGGTAGGGGAGTATGGGTCATAGTGAGACAACTTTTTGCAAGTAGATATAAGTTTTTTTTTTTTTTTTTTTTTTTCGATTTTTTTTTTCTTTTTGATTTGTTTGTACGTCGGGCAAAAAATTTAATTACTAGTAATTAAAATTAATTAATTAGTGAAGGTTTTATTTTTTTTTCCTTCTTAAGTGGTTGCGCACCGCTTTTGCGCAACACTTATGGCATCTTCCGATGCCTACGTTACGCGAACCAGATACTATGAACCGTCTTCGA